GATATAATAAACGCATAGGGATATAAAACTTTTTGATATTAAAAGTAACTTGCATGTCTATGGGCCATAATTACAGGATAGTTATTATTGTTGATAGGTTGACACCAAAGCTATAAATTCCTGATTTTAGATGTAGAAAAACACTGGACAAGATGGGTGGTTCTGTTGTTGCCCAGTAAGTGTATATACGAGTCATCAGTTAATTAGAAAGTTTATAAACCTGCTGACCTTTTGGAATGATTTACTCAAAATAAAAGAAATTGGCAGCAAGTTGTTCACAAGATGTTGCTAAATGCATGTAATACTCTATGAGTTTATTTCTTATAAAGAAGCCAAATGTAAGTCGCAGAATGAAATAGATACTGATTTCCATGAAGTTCAAGCCAGCCACACCAGTTTTTATTGAGCCGTTAACTTAGTCTGAAGTAGATTTTGTCACTGAGTGATTGAATGTGGTCTTAACTGTCAGAAGTAATAAACCACATGAGTTTGGCTATTTTGGTATTCTGGAGTTTTTTCTCTATTACAAAGAATTAATTGAGAAGTAGGATCTGGTGCTGACCTGTATGAGTCTGGTTAATGCAGTGTCATGGTGTGGTTTTAGGGTTGAAAATTCTGGTCAGTGAAAAGGTGGAACTCTGATGGGCTCATGGCAGTGTGTGGTATACCTGACACCCATGCAGTCGTTCCTTGGTTTAGTTTAAACAAAAGTTGCCACTGCCCGTTATTGCTACAAATATAATGAAGTGTCAGGGGAATGTCTTGTTAAAGTGTAGCTTCATGTTGTTAAAAATAAAACAGTAATTACAAGGCAAATGAAAAAGAAAACAGGAAACATAACCATATTGTAACACAGCTTGTCATTGACCACCATGGCCTTTCATTCATTTAAGATGTGATGCGTAAAATAATCTCCATGCTGTTTTCACAACATTTTTCAGCTGGAATTGGAAGGAACGACTGTGGAGAAATAGAGAAAAGAACAGAGGAAAGCAAAAAGTCACAATGTTGAGGCAAGGTTTATCTATGTTCTCTCTCTCCATTTATCTATGCTTGTAATGACAAAATTACTCAGACAGCTAAGCAAGTATAGGAGCAAAATAGTGGTCACAGAGAGATGTCTTACTAGCAGATTGCTAACTTGGGTGAATTTGATTAGGATAATCTTCTAGCAATTTGTTCATACTGAGTAAAGTTAATAGGAACAAGAATTACTTTTTTTTTTTCTTTCTTCAAAAACTCTAACAATTTCAGTTTGTAGGGTGAGGAATCAGGAGAAAGAGAAGCAAATGTGCACATGATTGCATCTGTGGGAGTAATGAGAACAGCTTGCTACTTTTGCTCCCTCCACCGACCGGAGGTAGCAACTCAGGTGCACACAGAACAGAATTGCGAGGGGCTGGCGTTGGCCTCCTCACCAAGACATATAGTAGGAAATTCATGAAGAAAGCATAGCTGCCATACAGGCACAGGCAATAACTTGAAGTGCATATTCATGTTGAGGATCAGGAGGAAGACTTGACTCTGGCTGAGAATTTGGAAGAAAACTGAGCTTCCACGTATGGCTGTCAGCATTTTGTGTGCTTCAGTTCAGCACAGAAAATCTGACTTTTATCATCAAGTGATAAAAAAAAAAATCTGACTTTTATCACCAATATCAGTTTCCAGTGGTTCCAAAAACTCCTGATTTCCAGTAGGGTCCTGATTGCGCAGTGTTTGTTTTAAGATACTCCACATGGTTGGAGGCAACAAACATAACATCACCTCTGCCATTCAAATGGCACGCGGTTGTTATCTCCATTGGCTGAACTGTGACCTTGGAAACCCCATTTCAACAATATTTGCTTTGTTCCCTCCTTTTTTTTTTTAATATGTGGCTTTATTTTTTTTCTATTCTGTTTAATGTTTAACAGTGGAGAGAAACTAAGCAGAAAAAGATTTAGCAATATAAGTAAAAGTGTGGAGAGCAGCTTGGTGAGTTGAACCCAGCAGGATACTTCAGGTTTTGTAAGTAATGAATTCATCTTTCATAGAGACTTCAACCTGATGGTCTGAGGAATTTTCATGCTCAGTTTATACTATTTGCATCTTTGTGACTTCGTTCTGTGCAACTTTTGCCATGAAATAACAAATAAACATCCAAGGAGCAATGGAACTTGCTCTTTCTAGGAGTAGTATTCTCAAAATAACCTTTTTTAAGATGCAGGGAAACAAAAATTAGGAAAGCAGAATGTTGATGAAATCACCTTTTAGGTTATAATCTCTCCTGGTGACTTGATTCCTGGTGAGTATATAAGACAATAACGGAACCATTGCCAAGGCCTTTAGTTGAGACTGGAGTGAATGTAGGGGATGAATGGAAAACCATAATTTCTGAATGTAATTTCCCCTTTTATTTTCATAGACAGACCAATACGAGGGTTTGGCTGAGATGTAATTTCTGAATTGCTTATTGAGGCATTAAAAACACATCCCACATTTAGTAAATCCTTTCCAGTTTCTTCATCTTTGACATGATAATTATAAAATTTTGCTATCTAAAATTTTCAAGTTTCAAAATGTTAAAATTATTTTAATTAATATCTCTAATGAGAAAAAAAAGCATGTGGGGAAAATGTTCAGAATTTTCCAGCTTTTATTCAAAGTTCTTCTTTCAAATTTTTGCTACTGGACTCTAGTACTAAGAGAAGTTTTTGAACTGATCTATTACTAGCAGAAATGAAGTGTAGAATTCTGAACCATGCCTAACATGAATTAGCTACAGGCAAATCATATTCTGTACTTCAGAAATTATTTGAAATTTTGATCAAGCTCTATCTGGGCACAGGAAGTGATCATGGATCAGGGATGGCTTGAGACAGATAAAAATCCTCCTGTTATTATTTCATCAAGGATGTGATATTTCAAAAAAGTAGAGGGAAAAAAATCCTACAAAAATACTTGTAAAGTAGTCTTTGTATATGTGGTTGCTTGATTAACTGCATTACATAAGGATTTTTTTTAATGAGTGAAGAAGGACAGACTTATACTTAAAACAGATGCCAGTAATTGATTCATATCCCCATCCCGGGCCATCCTCCATCTTCTGAATTAAGCAGATTAAAATTTAGCATCACCCTCTCTCACTATCGGTCAGTAGTGATCACTACCTGGACTCATGCAGGCATACTAAGCACTCAAATTCTGAAAAATACGGGAGTACCCAGCTAGTATAAACAAGTCCACTACATAAACAGGCTATATAGAAAACAAAGATCAGTTATACAAATGAGAAAAGTTACCATGTCATTAAATAAATAAAGCAGTTGGTTAATCACCAAGAATTCTAGAACTTGGGCTGCCATCAGAAACTCTACCTGGATCTTGTTTACATGGAAGACATAGTGGTCTCTTACATCTGGGAATGAGTAAGAAGTTCACCTTAGCTAGACTAAAGTTGTCGGATAATACTTGTGCTTGCTCTAAGCAACCTGTGGAAATACACTCCAGGAAAAAAAAAAGGAGTGAGTTCAATTAGGCTATGAATGTGCACTGTCTGGAAAGTGGAAGGAGTAAGCACAAAAGTAGAAAGGTCTAGAAAAACTTATGTAGAAGATGTGGGAGCGAAACACTTATTTTAACATATAGCTTGTTAAGTTTTGATAGAGCTTTTAAATGCTATGCCTCCTCAAATAGCAGGAAACTGAGTTCAATAAATTAGAAAATTGTTCCATTTCCTATGAACTACAGGAGGTTTGTGTGAAGCACCTCCTGCCAACATTGAGAGAAATCATAGTGAAAAAATCCATCATTTTTAACAGGAACATTCTAGAGTGTCAGAACTGGAACTGTGTTCCTCTTTTCTTGTTGGACCCAGCTAATGTGGCACATTACATGCATTAGCAGCAAGGCCCAGTTGTCTCCATGGTTGTTCTCCCATTTGTAATGAGCTATTTATAACACGATATGCATTTGGGAACCTCTAGGTTGCATTGATAGATCGTTTTGTGGAATTTCAGACATGTGTACCCCATATTCCCCGCAGCTAAAGAGTCTGTCTCTTTCTGCCTGGGCAGCCAGAACAGAGTGTATGCATGTATGAACTAGGGGCTGTGCTGGAATATGTCCTTCCTCCAACCTAGAGGGATCTTCACATCCCACACAGCAGTGGCTGTGTCACCAGGTTAACCAGTGGTGAAGGGCACACCCCACTTAACCAAATGGGAGGTCCCAGTGTTCCCAACACGTCCCTCCACCAGAAGAACCCAGTTGCTTCCCATACGCTCTGAGTACACGGCTGCTGTGCCAGAGCCTGCTGCAGGCTTAGGCCTCAGATTTTGCCTCAAGTTTTTGTAAATGTTTTTCTACCCTAAATTATCAGGTGGCCAATAACTGAACAAGCAACTGTGAAGTAAACAAGGACGTGCATTTAAGCTGCACCAGACAGTCCATGTGTATTTCTACCCCTTTCCTCCCTAAATTATCAGGTGTGGCCAATAACTGAATAAGCAACTGTGAAGTAAACAAGGATGTGCATTTAAGCTGTACCAGACAGTCCATGTGTATTTCTACCCTGGTGAAAGTGTGGGAGTTTATCCCACTTTCAGGGAGAAGTGAGTTGCCTCGAGTTCCTCACATTTACCACAGAGCATATGGCCAGGTACTGCAGAGTGGCTGATGCTTCTGAAATCCACATCCCGTCTCACCTCATGGCAACTTGTTTGTTTAGCTGTACTCCTATAGGACACAATGATACAAGAAGATAAGATCGCTGTTAATATCGTTACACTATTTGGCTCTACACTTTCATAGCCAACAGAGAACAGTCTTTTCTAAGCATGTACAGTGGAGAATTGTGGTTTTATTAGAGCTGATATTTTAATTAATAATTTGTTTGAATTTATTAATGCGTATGTATATTAGATCTTTATAGTTGCTTTATATGTTCATTATTACTGGCTACAAAGGTCATCATTACCTTCTGCTCATCTAATGACTGTTTATTTTGTGACAGAATAATTTGAAAAGAAAATGAAGGATCTCCTCTGCCTGTGTTTATTCCTTGCTGGTCTTTGTGCAGTAACCCATTGCCGCCAGGAAGACATCTGCCATGAAGTCAATAATACGAATCTGCATGATGGAGCAGAACATTTATTAAAGCATCATTGTGACAAGCAAGGCTCTACCTATGCAGATTTTGCATTTAGATTTTACAAGCAGGCTATCGCAAAAGAAGCTGACAAAAATGTTTTCTTTTCTCCCCTGAGTATTTCCACTGCCTTTGCCCTGCTGGCTCTTGGTGCTAAGTCAACCACTCTGTCTCAGATTTTGGAAGGACTGGGCTTTGGCAGTGTTCCTGAGACTCATGTAGAAGATATACATGAAAGTTTTCATAAAGTTCTAGCAGTACTGAATTGTACTGATGCTCATATCACATTAAATATAGGAAATGCCCTTTTTACAGCTATTGGGTATGAACCACAGGAGGCATTTTTAAAAAATACCAAACAATTCTATGATGCAGACTTTTTTTCTATCAATTTCCATAAGGAAAATGAAGCTGAGGCACAGATCAATAATTATGTAAAGGAGAAAACCAAGGAGAAAATTCCTAAATTAATTGATCGTCTTGGTAGAAATACTATAATGGTTATTGTTAACTACATTTATTTTAAAGGTAAGAAAAGCTCTATAAGGCACTCTCAATGATTTTTTAATAGAATGACTATATGGGAAGGAGCTAAATTGCGTAGAACCTTAAAGGTAAGGATTAGCTTGGCCAAAAACAGAGTGACTACTGAGAAATATTGATTGCTTGATTTTTGTCTAATTTTCCTGGAAGCTGTGGACAATATAATCCCCCTGCATGGATCTACTGCGAGCAGTCTCTATGGTCTAGGGTGTCATAGCCAAGGATGTTTCTAAGATCTCCACACCGAGCATATGTGCCAGTCAGACCTTTAGGGGACTGATGTCCTTGCATTTCCAGGGTCCCCAGTATTACAGCAGACCCGTGAACTACCTGCCTGAAAATCTGTGGGGTAGCAATTTGGAGGTTTGTGTTTCTGAAGGCCTGCTTGAATTTTAGGGTTCTTTATTCTATTGATAAATTCCTAACCAGACTGAGTACAGTCAACTTGTATCTGACATGGCCTAACATGGGCATACGGAAAGGCAGAAAAGTCATAATGAGATTCTTTGGCCACATGTTTAAGCCTGCCAATTTAAATGAAATAAAAGGCACAAGGGGGTGATGGGAACATATAGCAGCAATAGAAGCAGGAGTCTTTACTTCTCCCGATCAACCTTTGAATCTCAGCAAGATAGGGCTTAGTTAAACGCAAACTGCTGAGCTCACTGCACGGCTAAAATGCCTCACTGTGTGTTATACAGAAGATTGAAATGATCTAGCGATCCCCTTCTCCCGTACACATCTCCTCATAACTCTAACATTGAAGTTGGTCTGATTTATATCAGCCATTTTTATGACCCTCACATGTGGAAGTGCAACATCTTCTCTTTTCCCCCATTAGCTGCCTGGGAAAAACCTTTTGATCCTGAGTTTACCTTTGAGGATACTTTCTTTGTGACCACAAATGCATCTGTTAATGTCAGCATGATGCGACGTGAAGATGACTATAACACTTACTATGACCAGGATCTCTCTTGCACGGTGGTAGAGCTGCCATACCAGGGCACTGCGCGAGCATTGCTCATTCTGCCTGATGATGGAAAGATGGAACAAGTGGAAGATGCTCTCTCAAAAGAAACTATTTGTAAATGGGATAACAAACTTGAAACCAGGTAATTCTTGGTAGCCTGATTATTGTATTTTGGGAAATAATGTTAATTTTTGAAAGAAAGCATTCATTTCAGATCTCCTGGATTTAATACAATGATTTTTAAATGATTGCCAAGATTAGCCCCAAGACTAGAGCATAACTGATTTGCTACTGCAGCCTTTCTGACTTGACAGAAACGGACACAGCGCACCAAGAAGTACCTCAGACTTGCCTTTCAGCCTTTTGGCTACCATGCCTCCTCTTTCTTGCTGCTAATGTAGCTTGTTTTTTCACTGTGTCTTGGATTTTATCCTTCTTTTCCCTTTTAGCTTTTCTCTCTTTGTTATACCTCCAATCTCTGTGCTCAGTCCATCTGCCTACAGTCTCTGCAGCCTGTTATTCCTACAAGCTTGTTAGATATGAGTATCCTGGCACCGGAAAAAAACAGTCACAATGAAGAAATGAGTTTTTTTCAACAGTAACTACTGGTACAAGAAAATGATACATCTTTCTCTGGATATCCATATTGCTCAGGGCATACAAATGCCACCATCAAATACCTTAGAAATCAAAGGAATACTTTCACGTGTCACTGCATTACATACTATTCAGCCTGCTGGTTGAAAAAGGATGTGTTGTGCTTCATTGCTGTTTTGTTTTCTCTGTTCAACAGAAGAGTAAATCTGCACTTACCAAAGACTTCTATCAGTGGGTCTTATGACGTTGCAAAACTGTTCAAGGAAATGGGCATTACTGATGTATTCTCTAGTAATGCTGATCTGTCTGGAATTACTGGCAGCCGTGATCTCCAGGTTTCACAAGTAAGTTACTAGAGAGAGAGGGTGGTAGTGAGTTTGTTGGTACAAACGGTTATATCTAGGACTTTCAAAGATGTCTTTATCATTCTTGTCTTGAAGTTATAAGCAAAACTCAGTGACATCCACAGACTTGCTTAGTAATTATACTTTTATACAGAGAGGTTCTACTGTTCCAGCTTTGAATTTTTTGAATATCAATATGAAAAAGCTGGATATTAATATATAGGAGAGGAGTACAAGAATTCCTATGATTTTTTGGTACTAGAATACATTTCTCTACATGTAGTTACATGAGCCATAAGTGAAGAATATGTCATGGACATTGCCCCAGTCTATGCAACTCACAGAATCACAGAATAGTTGAGGATGGAAGGGACCTCTAGAGATCATCTAGTCCAACAGTCCTGCTCAAGCAGGGACACGTGCAGTATGTGGCACAGGGTGACATCCAGGTGGATTTGGAAGATCTCCAAAGGAGATGCCACAACCTCTCTGGGCAGCCTATTCCAGTGCTCTGTCATCCTAACAAAAATTTAGGGGGGACTCTGACTTAGAGCCATTCAGTCATAACTCTGGTGAGACTGCATCTAAAGTACGTTCATTTATGGGATCCCCAGTTCAGTCTTGACACGGAAGACACTCCTGTTGCAGTATGTTGGAGATTTATTATACAACTGGGTCCACTGGATTTTTTTGATCCTTTATTCTACTAAATATTCTTTAAGAAGAGACTTATCTTCTGATCCTGCTTGCTGTCCCATACGTGCAACTGTAATTTTTGCTTCTTTTCCCTGCAGGCAATTCATAAGGCCCTGCTGGAAGTAGATGAGGCTGGAACTGAGGCTGCAGGAGCCACAGCCATAATTGTTACAAAAGTTCTTCTTCCGTCTGTTACCATCAAGCTCAACAGGCCCTTCCTTATTGTTATTTCTGATAAAGCAACCAGCACCACACTTTTCTTGGGAAAAGTTGTCGATCCTACTAAGAAGTAATTGCTGGATTATTCATCATGCTCTACATATTTGGGCATGAATTATAATGGGCTACAGTGTTTGCATATGTGACATGGTACTAATACTACTCTCTGACCAAGGGGTATTCTCAACTAACTGACCAATTTCTGTGTAAAATGAACAAACAAAGATTGTAAAAAAAAAAAGACAGTTTAAATATGCAGTGTTTTCTCCAGCTGAGTAATTCAGGTTGTTAATATATTTCCCAAATTTGGGAGAAAAAAACAGTTTCTTGCAAATTCTTCTAAGAGAATTCTCTGTGTTGTGTGACTGTCTAGGCCCCTTTTAGTTCTGAGTTATTCACCAAAAACTCTATTCCAACAGGAAACTATTCTATTAAAATTATGTTAGTGTTACAATATCACCTCTGCCAATTGAATCAAGAGAGTAGATGGTTAGGTATCCCTTCCATTTGAGTCATGGGTTTCAGGTCAGATTGACCTTAGTGTCAGACCTGGTCAATGGCTTATGCCTAAGGGAATGTGAGCAAGGGAGACCCTCACATTGAGTCATGGGTTCAGGTCAGATTGACCTTAGTCCTGGACCTGGTCAACAGTTTATTTCTAAAAGATTACTAAACAGAATTTTCCACAGGAGACCCTCCTGTTGAGTCACGAGGTTCAGAGAGGAGGCCCTTGCTTTCTGAACTCCCACAGAGAGGAGCGTAGGTGCATCTGCATCCAGCCTCAGACTATGTCAACAGTTTATTACTAAGGGGTTTGACACAGAGGCTGCACTCTGATAGATTATTTAAAATGCACTTTATTAGAACAAGGAGGTAGAAAGAAAAATTATTTAGCAGCTTGGATGTCAGTTTGAGAATTAGCCCCGTTGTGCCCTTAGTGTAAAACCTCTTTTCAAGAAATACATAAACAGTCTTGTTGTTGCACTCAGGTCTGGACATCACCCACTCCTATTACAGATAAGCACGAGGCTCAAAGTTCAGCTCTGCTAAACTCTATAGCAAACTCTTTATTGCCCAGCTGCTGTCTCAAGGCTCCTGCTTTGTCAATTGCTCTATGATTGCTCCATGCACTTGGATTTACACCATTGCATATTAACACTGGATGGTTTTTCTTCTGCAACTGGAACTTGGTCCCTGTTTTGGAGGAAGACAGTGTCTTGCAGTTGTGGTAGTGGGCTGTAAATGCTGAGAAGACAATGCCTGCTCCAAATTAGCAAATAAACCACCTCTGACATCTCTCCAACCCTCTGAATTGTCCTCCTTCCTCAAATCTGTCCTGCACAAAAGCGCTTTGTTGGGACCTATCTCTTATCATGAATGGTTATATTTTGGCTTTAGTGGCCCTATGGTTCTGATGTGGGGAACTGGAGACTGCCGCCTCGCTCAGACACACTTTCAGGCACCACAGCATCGCCTATGTGGCAAAAAAGCCATGGAAGCCCTGAGCTATTGCTTCTGTTGAGGCAAGATGCTATCACTGGGACAGCTAGAACCATGCCTCTGTGCAAAACAGTAGCTCTTAAAGAGTTGAGATCAGTAATAACTTGTGGTGTGAGGTAGTCTACTCTGACTGTACGAACTCAACAAGAGCTGGGAGCAGCTAGATTGAGATCCCACCCTGATAAACCGATGTACCAGTACTGATTAGAAAGTGGGATGGTGAGATTTTAATCAGAGAGGGGTGCCAGAAAAACAGGTTCTAGGCTTATTGCTATAGGAAGGTGGTTAGGAAAAAATCTCATGGCTGCTAGGACAGAGCAAAGGTTTGGGGAAACAACAAGCAGAGCAAACTTCCTGCTTTCTCTGCCTCCCAAGCTGTTGCTTTTGGGAGTGGGAAGGAAAACGAACTGCAGAGGAGAGCTGTTCTGAGAGTTTTCACACTGGAATGCATTCAGGTGGGCCAAATCAAAAAAGAAACATGGATCTTTTCAGAAAAAAAATCTTGTTTTTGTAAGGCTCTCACTTGTGGGCAGACCCCTGCGCGTTTTCTTTCAACAAGGCGAACCCGGGGGATAACACTGCCTGTCAAGGGCAATGGACGTGCCTCACATATGTTTGGCTCTGGTGCTACGTCGTGAAGGAACTGTGGCTTCTTACAGGGCTCCTTTGAATGCCAGATGTGCAGCATCAGGTGGTGGAGCATCAGCACAGTTGTCACCTAGTTCAGGTACTTCATACTCCAGACCCAGGTTAACCTCAGCTGTGACAGGATCTTGGAGAGGAAAAGGAGAATTGAAGTAGAGCGGGAAGAGAGGTATGGAAATTCATAGGGCCAGGGTACCAAACCTGTATGGCTGATACTACTGACAGCATGTTTCCGATTATTTTCTTTAAGAACTGGCCTAGTTCTGTAAATTTTTTATGAATAGAGAGGCTATTAGGTCCTAATTGGGACCTAATATTAGGACCTAATTTGGTCTTAATTCCAGTAAAGCTTAAACTTTTTGTTCTGTCCTGTGTCATTTGCCCTCATCTTCTTTATATTTGATAGGGAAACTTCTATTTCTTGTTGTCTAGTTACATTAATGGTAGAAGAGGAAAAGAGTGACTCAGATGATAGAAATTTCTTTCAGGGACTGTGTATTCATCTCATGTGTTAAGCTCATGTATGTCTGTGTCTTTCATTTATCTTCAGATATTACTCTTACCAGCCTTCAGTTTTCCACTATAGCAAAACCAGACCTGATTAGGACAGCTTAATCATATACACATAGTCTCTGGGATAGCTGGATCCAAATTAAGCTTTCTCAGAATTAAAGCTTCTTTACACCCTACTAAGTGCTATTTGCTTGACTTGCTATAGGGACAGTTGGCAGACAGGGATGATACAGCTTGCAGTGGGATACATAACTCTGTTGTAACTTATCACTTACCCGAGATAACTGAACTCAGTGGCTCCATTATCCCTGACATTCTGGACTAAGAAACTTTGAGGAAAAGGGCTTAACTGAAGAGGCTGCATCTCAGCTGATGGCTACGAGAGAAGATGGACCTCCTGGACTGCTTCCTGGCATGAGGATTGAAGAGAGGGGACAACCGAGTGCGCGACTTTTCCTGGCAGCCTCTGAGATGTGTGTGGGAGAGTAAGTTTGTTCTGTCTGACCTTGCTTATGGTCAACTGTGTCTCTGT